ACACTTGAAAACTAAAGAGCACTCTTCTAAGTTATACATCAAAGAGGAAGTCTCAAAGGAAATAAAACAATAATTTGACAAATGAGAGCATATCAAAATTTGTGAAATATAGAAGCAGTTTTGAAAGGGAAATTTGTAGCACTAAATACATACTTTAACAAAAGAGGAAAAGTTTCAGGAATCTGAGTGTCTACTTCAGGAAATGAGGGGCCAGGCAGGGTGGCTCAAGCACTTGGGGAGGCCAAGGTGAGAGGACTGCCTGAATCCACGGGTTCGAGACCAGCCTGGGCAACTTGGTGAGACCTCATCTCTACAATAAATCAAAAAATTAGCTGGACTTGGTGGTGCATGCCTGTAGTTGCAGCTACTTGGAAAGCTGAGAAGGAAAGATCACCTGAGCCCAGCATATCAAGACTGGTGGCTGTGAGTATGCCACTGCACTCCAGTCTGGGCCACAGAGTGAGACTCCAATTCCAACTCCAAAAAAAAAAAGAACTTAGGGGAAAAAAAAATAAACCTAAAGCCAAGTAGAAGGAGGGAAAAATAAACATGGAGAAATCAATGAAAGAGAAAACAAAAAGAATTAAGTTAATGCAACAATGGGTTGATTCTTTGAATTGTTTCATAATCTTGGAAGTGTGTAGAGAAACTGATAAAAACAAGAAAAAACACAAATTACTGATACAAAAAAATGAAATGGGAGAGCACTACAGACTGCAGAATCAAAAGGATAATAAATGTAATAATGAAGTAAGAGGCATTCAGAGTAGAAAGGAAGAAATACAACCACCTCTAATTGCTAATAACATGATTGTACAGGTAGAGAAAATTACAAAGATTCTACACATAAACAACAACAAACACACTCACAAAAAAAAACTCAAAAATTAAGTGAGTTTATCAGGGTTACAGCATATAAGTTAAACAGATTTTCTGTATACTAGCATTGAAAATATAGACACCAAAGGTAAACAACATTTGCTATCACTAAAAAAAAAAAAAGGGAAATGCTATCAAACAAAATGTATAAGATATGTACAAAAACTACACAATATGCTTAAATAAATGAAAGAAGTGTTAAACAATTGGAGAGACCTAATATCACCATGAATTGGAAGACTAAACATAGGAAAAACTGTCAGTGATCTTCAAATTGATGAGTCTAACACATTCCTATCAAAGTCCCAGTAAAATTTGTTGGTAGATATAGGCAAGATTGTTTTAAAATTTAGATGGAAAGGCAAAAGAACTAGAATAGCAGTTTAAGTCTACTAGGCAGCCATAACAAACTAACACAGACTGAGCGGTTTAAACAAGAGAAATGTCTTGTCTCATATTTCTGGCGGCCAGAGTCGAAGATAAAGGTATCAGTAGGGCTGGTTTCTTCTCAGGGCTGTGCTAATAGATCCGTCCCACACCTCTCCCCCTGCTTCTCATGATTTTCCTTGTCTGAAGAAGCATCATGCGAGTTTCTGCCTTCATCTTCACAAGGTGTTCTCATTGTGTGTGTCCCTGTATTTTCCCTTTTTATAAGGGTTAGAGACCACTTTGATGACTCAAGTTGATTACTTCTACAAAGACTGTCTCCCAGCAAGATCATAGTCTGAAATACTAGGGGTTAATACTTGAACAAATCTTTTTTGAGGGGACAGAATCCAACCCATAACAATAGCTAAAACAATTTTGAAAAAGAAGAATAATATGTGAGCAGTTTACTGCAATTTGAAATTTGATATATAGCTGAAGTATAATCAAGGCTGTGTGTTGGCCGAGGGCCACACATATATATCAAGAGAACAACAGAGAATCCAGAGAGAGATAGATCCTCACAAATATGCCCAAATGACTTCTGACAACAGTGAAAAGCAGTTGATGGAGAAAAGATAGTTTTTCCTACAAAATGTTGCTGGAGTGATTGAACATCCATAGACAAAAAGAAAAAAAAAAAAGCTCCATATAAGTCTTACAGCTTGTGCAGAAGTTAACTCAAAATGGATCATGGATTTAAATGTAATGTAATTAAATGTAAACTATTATACTATAAAACTTCTAGGAGATAAACATAGAAGAACTTGTTAAGAAAAGCACAGTTCATAAAAGGAAAAGTCAATGATTTGGACTTCCTGAAAAGTTAAGACTTCTTGCTCCATGCAAGGCCTAGATTTAAGAAAGAAAGCTCAAGCTACAGAGTGGGAGAAAATATTTTCAAACCACATATCTGACAAAAGTTTAATATCTAGGATATATAAAGAACTCTCAACTCATCTGTAATACAACATGCTAATATGAAAAAGGCAAAAACACGAAGAGACAGTTCACCAAAGAGGATTATAGATGGAAAATAAGCAAACAAAAAATGTTTAGCATTATTAGCCTTTAGGTAAATGCAAGAAAAAGCTATAATTAAATATTACACACTTAACATTAAACATTTCAGCAACAACACTGCAACACTAAATGTTGGTGAGTGAGAATGTGTAGTAACTAGATCACTCATATATTACTGGTAGTAATCTAAAATGGTAAGCCAGTCTGGTAAACATTTTGTGCTTTCTTTAAAAATTAAACATGCAGCTACTACACTTAAGCACTTGTGCTTTCAAGTATTTAGCCCAGAAAAAAGATTATGTTCACATAAAAGCCTGTATACAAATGTTCATTTCATAGCAGTTTTATTTATAATCGCCAAAAACTACAATTTTTAACAGGTAAATGAACTATAGTACATCTCTACCATGGAATATCTCATTCACCAATAAAAAATACATGAAACAACGTGGATGAATCGCCAGAGGATTATACTGGCAATTCACTGTGGGAACTTGGATAAAGGGTATGGGGATCTTTCTGTATTGTTTTTTTAAAATTGCATGTGAATCTAATTATCTCTAAATAAAAAGTTTATTCCCTTCCTCAGTCCATTGCAGATTCTCTCTTCCACTCTTATTATTGATATTCTTATTGCTAAGTGTAGTGGAAACTTGTCTGTTTTTGTCTTTCTTAATGTCTTCAAGATTTGACTCTCTTAGTTTGGAGTTCTTGTCTCAGTGACTTCTCTGGTAGAGTTCTGTTCTTGGCAGTCTTTCTGCCTCTCGGCCACTCCTTCTGGAACACATCTCCCTTTTCAGTTTTACCACCCTAGTTTATATTCTCGTGACGTCTGCTAAAACTCAAAGTACATCACTACCCGGCTTACAGCCTTTCGTGGCTTTCCATCTCATCCAGAGTAAAAGCTGAAGTCTTTTCCTTCGCCTAACCACACCTTATCTGGCTGCCTGTTCTCGGACCTCATCTCCTTAACCTCAGTCTTGGTTTTCTGGCTGCTCCCAGATTAAGCCTGGCACTTTCCTTTAGGGCTTTTGTATTTCTTGTTCCTTCTATTTGTAATTTTTGTCTCGTCCTCAACACAACTGCATGGTTTATCTCAGGTCTTTGCTGCTAGAAAGTCATTTCATAGAGGTTCATTTCATTTTATTTTCTGTTTTGGACCACCCTGTTCAACAACTCTGATCCCCAATATTGAGACTTCCTGTGCCCTTCCATGCTTCATTTTTCTCTACTTGTTACCTTTATTGTTTGTTGTCTGTCTCTCTCAACCAGTGCAGTCTTCATAAATGCACACATTTTGTTTCTTGTTTACTGATGTATATCTAATAGCTAGAACAAGGGTCAGCAAACTTTTTCTGAACCGTAATGTTTTAGGCTTTGCTGGCTATATGGTTTCTGTCACAACCACTAAATTATTTATTACTATTATTATTTGTTTTTTTAGAAGAAAATCAGTCATAACAGTAAGTAAACAAACAGGCATGTGTTCCAGTAAAATTATTTATGGACACTGAGGTTTGACTTTCATGTGATTTTCACTTCATGTAATACTATTCTTTTTTCCTCCAACCATTTAAAAATATAAATTATTTTCTTAGCTCACGGGCCTTACAAAAACAGGTCTAGCACTTAGTTTGCTGACCAGACTGGTATCAACTCCCTGGGCTAGGCAGTCCTCTCATCTCTGCCTCTCAAAGTGATTCCAAGCATTAGCCACTGAGCCTGGCCAATTTATTTTAATATTTTTTGAGTTGGAGTCTCACTCCGTAGCCCAGGCTGGAGTGCAGTGGCATGTTCATGGCCACCACAACCTCGACCGGCTGGGCTCTGGCGAACCTTCTGCCTCAGCCTTCCAAGTAGCTGGAACTACAGGCGCGTGCTACCACTCCTGGCTAATTTTTTATTTACTATAGAGATGAGGTCTCACCAAGTTGCCCAGGCTGGTCTCAAACCCATGGGCTCAGGCAGTCCACTTGCCTCGGCCTCCCAAAGTGCTGGGATGACAGGCTGAGCCACCGAACCCGGCCTATTTTTAAAAATTTATTTTTCTAGTTCCTATTTAATAATTAATTTGCCCACTATAAATGCCAGGTTTCATTTATAATTTCAGCCAGAAATATATTTCATTTGGAAAAATATTAAGCTGTGGTGGTATGGTATTACTCCATTTCTGATGAGACTGTTTTATTCCACATATTTAAGAGATGAATTGTTTTTAGTGTTTTAAAACAAAAAAAGAGTTAGTATATTTGACTTGAATTACTGTGGTAGGAATGAAAATAAGTCAGCTCAAAGAGTCAGAGTGACACATACATATTGTAATCCGAAGAAAGATATCAGAGTGCAAAAAGTTCCAAAGTAGCTGTTCTCCTGCCCCAAGAAAAACAAAAAAGACTGGTAGAATCTGGCATTATATTCTTAAGGTTGAGAAGCGGTGGTATCTCAAGTATTTATACAGTTCTGGTAAGTCTGTGTTTTTTTCTCCTCACCAATCAATACCCAACTCCCTACCTAAAACACACATTCAGTATTAAACATATATTTGGATTTTTCTGGTCTTTAAATAATTTTTTTTTAAATCCTTAGGATTATGGAGATTTCCAGTAGTACTTTATGTATGACTAGATTAACACTTGATTTTACAATGTTGTCTTTGATTGTTCTCTCCCTAGATATACCCGTGTTTCCCACGATCACAGCCACTGTGACTTTTCAGGAGTTTCGATATGATGAGTTTGATGGCTCTATCTTCACTATACCTGATGACTACAAGGAAGATCCAAGCCGTTTTCCTGATCTTTAGCTGACATGGAAAATGAGGCTACCTAACCAAGGAAAGAGGATAGAGACCCCAGAAGTGGACCTAAATAGGAGGAGGGACACATGTTTTCAGTGAAGAAAAGGGAATTATACATTGAATCGACACATCAGTGATATGATAAAATGAAATGGGCCTCTAATAAGAATTTCAGCAAGTTTTCTGATGTGCCATTTTCAGTCTTTTTAAAAATACACATATTATAAGTGTAATAGTTTGACACATTAATGACCCTAAGACCTTCGTATGTAAAGCAGCTATGAGTGCTGTGATTTGTTTTTAAAAATTTTTACACTTCTTGTTGAAATATATATGCATATAAATATATCTATATCTATATCTAAAACACTCCTGGACCATTAACGTAAATTAAATGTCTTAAGAAATATGAAGCCCTTTTAAATGTGTCATCTTATATTCAAGGTGACATTTATAAATATTCCCTCAAGCTTTGTTTTCATAGAATGTAAACTATGTAACATTATGTATAGTTCAGTAATTTGAATGTTCGATATAATGAACTAGAAGGAATGCAGTTTTCTGTAGATAAATGAACCAAATGGTAACCATTAAACAATTGCATATATATGTTGCAATACATTTCAGAAGGAGCGTTCACTCTTCAGGGAATAAGGTACCTCCTTTAGCACCTTAGTGCAATTCATTGTGGTGCTATTTGTTTTTACCTGAATTATTTCTCCAATGGAAAATGTTTGGTACTAATCTTCCTTTCATAGAACCTCTATTTTTTTTCTAAACTTGAGTTTAAGAGTCTTGTTATGTTCATATATGATATTTAGCATGCTTAAAGATACTCCTCTTCCAAATCGTAGCACTTTAAAAAAAAAAAAAAAAACTCCAAATTTTTTAACTTGCTTCCTAATAAGTGCACATCAGTCTGATTATTTTGTTTATTTTTAGTGGAATATGGATGCATTGGTGTCAGTTTAAAAAAAATCTACATATTTTAGACAACCCTACACATGTAATGCTTTCAAAATAAGGTATAAACATTTTATATACTAACAATATATTTGCTACAAGTTAAAGTCCAGAAGTATACACAAGAATGACAACTTCTATTGTTTATTTTTTTGGGGGGTCACAGGGAAATATTTATTGATTTTAATTGTCTCCAAAGTGTTCAAATCATGCATCACTCATTTTTGCACTTAAAATTTTTCATATTTATTCCAAGACGGTTTGAAGGTTCAAGAATGAAAATACATTAGGGAGAATAATGTATAACAGTTATAAAATGTCATGTTGTATTAAAGAGCTTAGTTAAATGTTTTTTAAATGTTTTTTAAATGATGATGAATGTGTCAAGAATGCATCTGTCAAGTTTTTTTTTTAGACTGATTAGTAGTTTAAGCTTTTTCCAGGACTTTAGACCATTTGAAATGCGTTTAGAGACCCTTATTGAAAAGGTGATTTACTTCAAAATCCAAAGCATCAATGATAAGAACATTTTTATAATAAACATCTTTAAAGCTGCATCATCCATACTGGTACATGCATTGCATATGTTGACATTTTATTAAAATCATTTTACAATGAAGAAAAATAACCATAGTTAAAAATTCAAAGACCTAATTACTACCTTACATGGGTCTGTTGAATTTTGAGGAAAGTATTGGTAAACCCAGACTGATTGAAGTTGATCCCTATTATTTAGGAAATGGTTGTAGATCAAGTGTCTTAAGAGACTGAATTATTCTATCAGTGGTTATATGAGGTTTGAGACACTGAAAGGCAGTGATTACTGCTGCTTTTAGCCTCCTTTACTTTGTAGGAGTGTAGTACACTTTCAGGAACATACTATGGATTTTTTCATTAGTGCAGATACCTTAGGTAAAAAACATTGTACATTGCAGCCTGGGGCTTATCAGTTTTCTAACAGCTGTGAATACACTGGAGTGCACTGGAAGTAGGAAGACTACTGAAAACTCTTGCACTGGGATTTTGTTTTTAAGACTCTTTTTAAAAGAATAGTAGAAACAGATTATCCATTCCAAAATGTCTTTTATCACAGAGCAAACAGATGTCAGTATCTCTTATGATGGTGGAAAAAAGGAATTAATACAAATAAACTTTTCACAATATTAGATTTTTTACAATGTGCCTTTTAATTCAACAAATGAACGAAGCTCTATGCGCTGTTTCAAAACAGTTTCATAATATGAAAAAATCAAGATTTTGTAATGTAGGTACATGAGATTCTATGTGCCTTTCATTTGTTATTTTAGAAATTGTTTAAATTGGGTTGGGGACCATAATATAGTCATCTTAAGTGACCATTTAGAAATGCTCTATATTCCTGCCACCAGTGTGGTATCGAAAGAAGATGCGGTTCCTTGTCTTCAAGAAAACAGTTCTCTGATGAGGACGTTGGCCCTCTGCACACATTCATATGTAGAAGTAGAAAGCAGATGCCTTGAGTAGTCTAATTACAGGTGGTGGTTTGGAAGTTGACACGTCTGTCAGGTGATAACAGAAGCTGAAACTGAGTCATTTCTGCCCAGAACTGGAATTAAGCTCCACCCATGCTAATAAAAGTAGGTTTTAATAGGTTATTTCACATGCAGTTTGTTATTCACACCCTGGGATAGGACAGTTTAGCAAGCTGTTCTCCTAGCTTTCATTCACGAAGTCTTCAGCAGACAGGATCCTGTTTGGAGACCATTAGAAAGGGCTGCAGTAAATACAGTTCACTCTTGAACACGGGAGTCAGGGGCACAGTCAAAAATGCGCGTGTATTTGAACCCGTGCAGTGCAAACCTGTGTTGTTCAGAGCCAGCTGCTGAATGAAAGGGCGCTCCTTTTGTTCATTCCTATCACTCATACTTACACACGCACTAGAGAAAAAGCTGGAGACTTCAGGTGACTACAAAGTCCCACTTATGTTAGTCTCTACAGTTGCGAATTAATTGGTCTCAGTTTCATGTAGGATATAATATGTGTCTGCTGTTACTCCAACAAAAGGTTTTTTGGTCATGTTTTCTAAAATTAACAAAATGCATCTTTACCAAAATAGCTGTGTTTGGAAACTGAAACCTTTCAAAGAACTGACTGGAGAATGCCCCAGAGAGAAACTGACAGGAGGCAAATCACTTGTAGAGACAGCACAGCTAAGCTTGGTAAAAGCCTATAATTTATGTACTATCAATTAGCAAAAACTACTTTTGAAAGCATTTTTTAGGGGGGAGTCGGAAATCTGAATAGTATCTTTGATCAGCCTTCTAAAAATCTCAACAGGCTGGGCATGGTGACTCAAGCCTGTAATCCCAGTTCTCTGGGAGGCTGAGGCAGGAAGATTGCTTGAGGCCAGGAGTTTAAGACCAGTCGAAAAATAAAACAATATCCGCCAGGTGTGGTGATACACACCTGTAGTCCCAACTGAGGTGAGAGAATCCCTTGAGAGTAAGAATTTAAGACTGCAGTGAGCTAGAATCATGCCACTACACTCTAGCCTGGGCAGCAGAGTGAAACCCTGTCAAAAAATCTCATAACATGCCAAGTATTACTACATTTTTGACCATCCTTCTAGGACTACCTTGGAATGAGCTTTTTTTTTTTTTTTTTTTTTGAGTCAGAGTCACTCCATCGCCCAGGCTGGAGTGCTTTGGCATACTCACAGCCACCCCAGTGTTGACCTGCTGGGCTCCAGCGATCCTTCCCCTTCAGCTTTCCAAGTAGCCAAGTAGGTGTGCACTACCATGCCTGGCTAATTTTTAAAAAATTTATTGCAGAGACCAGGTCTCACCATGTTGCCCAGGCTGGTCTAGAACCCGTGGGCTCAGGCAATCCTCTTGTCTTGGCTTCCCAAGGTGCTGTGATTACAGGTTTGGGGCACCACACCTGGCCTGTTGAGCTTTTTAATTGTTACAGCTATTTTAGAAGAGTCTACTTTAAGCCATACTGATCCCGTGGTACATAGAATTACCATTTCACTTTTGCCACACTTAAAAATATCTCCTAAGGGTTTTTAAGAAAGGTCCTTGTTAATCCCTTCTGGCTTTAATCATGTTTTGCAGATGAAAATGGCCTTAATTAGCTTAAAGTAGGATTATTGCCTAACAGAAACAAAAGAACCCATCACTTATTTACCTGCACCTCCCATGTATAGAAATTTTGGCCACTGAGAAAGGCTAATAGTGACTGGCTGGGATTTCCTAAATAGAGCTGTGTCGCTTAATGATGGGAATGTGCTGTCTGAAAAATGTTGGGCAATTTTGTCATTGGGCAGACATTGTAGAGTACACTTACCTAGATGGTGTAGCCCGTCACACACCTAGGCTATGTGGAATAGCCTATTGCTCCTATGCGACAAACCTGCCCAGCAAGTGACTATACTGAATACTGGGCAATTGTAACACATTGGTGTTTGTGTATCTAAACAGAGAAGGTACAGTAAAAATAGGCTCTAAAGATAAAAAACGGTACACCTGTATAGAGCACTTGCCACGAATAGGCCCTGCAGGACTAGAAGTTGCTCTGGGTGAGTTGGCGAGTGCTGAGTGAATATGAAGACCTAGGACATTCCGGTATGCTAGTATAGACTTGGTAAACACGTTTACACTATAAACACTACACTTAGGGTACACTTGTTTATTTTTGATTTACAGTCTCAGTTGCCCAGGCTGGATGCAATGGCATGATCATGGCTCAATGCAGCCTCGACCTCCTGGGTTCAGGCAATCCTACTGCCTCAGCCTCCCAAATAGCTGGGACTACTGGCGCATACCACCACACCCAGCTAATTTCTTTACTTGTTGTAGAGACATGGTCTCTCTCTGTTGCCCAGGGTGGTTTTGAATTCCTGGGCCCAAGCAGTCCTCTCGCCTTGGCCTCCCAAAGTGCTGGGATTTTAGGTGTGAGCCACCATGACCAGCCTCACTCAAATTATTTTTTAAATATTTTCCTTTCTTCAATAATAAATTAACCTTAACTTACTGCAACTTTTTACTTCATAAACTTTTAACTTTTAAAACTGTTTGACAGTAACAACATTTATCTTAAAGCACAAATATATTATATTGGTGCAAAAAAGCCCACATATCCTTATAAGCTTTTTCTATTTAATGTTTTTAAAAAACAAACACAAACCTACATGTTAGCCTAGGCCTACACATGGTGAGGATGATCAGTGTCACTGTCCGCCGCCTCCACACCTTGTCCCACTGGAAGGTCTTCAGGAGCTGCCATTTGTAGCTGCATTTTTCTGGAATACATCTTGAGGCTTTCAGCACACTGTTTTTAGCAAGGCGTATACTACAACAATAAAGAGCACAGGTAACCATAAGTCATCATTGTCAAGCATATTGTGCATAATGGTGTGTGCTTTACTTTTATACAACTGGCAGCACAGTGGGTTTGTCTACAGCATCACCACAAACACGTGAGTGATGTGTGACACTGTGACATTACAACTGCTACAGGGTCCCTCGGTGACAGTTTTTTAGCTCCATTATAATCTTACGGGGCTGCCGTTCTAGGTCCAGTCCATCACTGACCAGAATGCTATGTGTGTGTGACTGATGAATATGGGTAGTGTTGGAGCTTTGGAGGGCAGAAGTGAAGCAAGTTCTGTAGCTCAGACACACTGTGGCTCAACAGCCGACCCTCTGGGACGAGGCAGCGGCTGGCCCTGGAACTGCACCTTTCCCTGGGTCCAACTTCTGCATCTCAGACTTCTGGGCCAGACGTGTGTGTGCCTAGATCCATGAAGCACCCTGGCTACCAAAGCCAGAAACAACGAGACCCTAGGGGAGTTTCAGTCCATTTTTGTGGGTTCCAGTTGGTGCTTGGCATTGGTTCCAGCTTACTCTTATGTCTACCCTCCCCTTGTCATCCATCCTCCCTCTCACCTGCATGTGGACTTCAAACTCCAGCATCAGGTGCAAGACAAAGCCTGCTTAACCAGCTCCCACAATTATTAAGGTCAAATCTGTGTTTTTTTTTTAAAAAATCTCCAACTGGTTCTATTTCTCTGACTGAATCATGACTGATACATTAGTTTTGTGGAAAGACAGAAATGTTCTTAATTCACTCACTTGTATTCTAAAACCTGGCATTAAAGTTAATAATTTTTCACTTTGTCAACTTAAAGTTTTCACATTTATCATATTGTTAAAATTATAGAAATTTAGTATATCTGCAGAAAGCTCAACCAATTTATATCCAGAATATTAGGCAGACAACAAGTTTTAAATTTCATCTTGGGATACCTGAACTGATAATATTAAACATACTTTGGAATATCACATTCTTTGTGACTCTACACTTTCAATTTCTCATGTACTATACTTTAACTAGCTTTTTTAAAAAACATGATACTAATTTTAGTGGGTGCATTGTGAAAATAACCTTTAATAAATTGAAACTTAGGAGAATGACATGAATGTGTCACTTCAATTTTTTGGTTAAGGACATTATTGGTCTATTTACTAAAATAGTAGTTATTTCAGACTCTGAATTGTCTTAGATACTAAACATCTTCTATCATATACCTTAGGAATATTCTTAAGAATATGGCTGGGCACGGTGGCTCATACCTATAATCCCAGCACTCTGGGAGGCTGGGGTGAGAGGACTGCCTGAGTCCAGGAGTTTGAGACCACCCTGGGCAACTTGTTGAGACCCTGTCTCTACAATAAATAAAAAAATCAGCCAGATGTGGTGGCATGCTCCTGTTTTTCCAGCAACTTGGAAGGCTGAGGTAGAAGGATCACGAGAGCCCAGCAGACAGACGCTGAGGCCATGAGTGTACCACTGCACTCCAACCTGAGCAACGGAATGAGACTCCAAGACAAAAAAAAAAAAAAAAATTCCCATTAAGTATTATAATAGTCCTCACGTAAGTTATTTTGCAAAGAATGTCCTAAATACTTTGACATAAAATGAAAATGGAAATACAAGTAAAACTGAGTAAAACAGATTCAAATATCTGCACCTCCAGAATCAGTCTAATTTAGAAAGGTATAATAACTACTGCTGATATAGCCTATTAATAAGACATATTCTGGATGCTTTAAAAACAAATATACTAGTAACAATCCCATCACATTCATATATAACTAAAACACAACTACATGTACTTGATTAGAA